TTCAGACGCAAAAATAAATAAATAAATAAATAAATAAATAAATAAATAAATAAATAAATTCCTAATTCAGTATTTTATCATACACCTGATTCACGTTAATGTTACAGTTAAATATTAACTTAATTTTCAAATACAAATTTATCTTTTAAGCTGTGTGACATATTGTACATGTGTATTTAATGTATTTATTAATAAGGGAATACTTTATTTTGATTTTATATCTATTTCATCTCTTTTCTTATTTAAACAATCAGTGATATGTATTAATGGACTAAAGACAGATAGTATATTCAAAGCCAAAGAATTCCCTGACACACAACTATTTGTACCTTGAATTTCAATTTCATATTATGAATATTAAAAGCTTTGCATCACCAATATGCATCACCCAGATATAAAAATCACATAAAATAAACTTTTTTATTTATTAACTGTCAATATATCCAAAATGCAGTGAATAGATAATCTTTTCCCCAAAATATATTTATCATATAGGCTTACTATTGACAGGTGAGACATTAGCAGTGTTATTCTCAAAATTGATGGAAATATATAGAGATTTTCGCATATATTATAAAAGCAGTGTTGTCTGGAGAAGGTTGAAAAATATATTCTTATGTTTTAAATGCTTAAACCCTTTTCTGATGCGGTCATCAATTCTTTAAATATCTATATTGTGTTGTGCATGTCCATGTATTTGTTGTGACAGCTTGCTGAGAAAGACAGACTTACATTTGCAGTATGAAATTCATGATTGATAAATACATCTGTGCATGTGACATATATGATACCATGTACTAGTTGTCCAGAACATTAAAATTGTAAGAAAAAAGTATGAAGAAAGGACTTGCTGGTGTTGACCAGGTCTCATGGGCCACTTAAGGTGGAAAACCGATGAGAAAACAAGGCAGCAAAGCTGTCAAATGTACAGACAAAAAGCAGGAAATAACTATGCACAAAATAGGCTACTGCCAATTCTGATGCAAAAGTACATAATGTTAAACTGCAAATTCAACATCAAATTTTAACAAGACAGCACTGTTCTGACATGGGTTTATTTCCATTTTTAACACTTTTTTAACATAAAACAAAATAAACAGTTTACTGCAATTTTTATATGATCAACTAAGATAATTGATGAGATGGGAAAAATATCAATAGAATAGTGTTAAATGTCCAATTTCCTCCATTCTGAGATTCTGAACATAGTGGATGATTGAATCTGACAAACTGCAATGATATGAGTTTATTTCCATTTTTGACACTTTATTACACAATACACGATAACAAGTTTACCATCATTTTTACATAATCAACTAACAATGTTGTAAAGATGCAGGAAATGTCAAA